AAAGTGGGGCCTGAAATAAATTCACTATGAACAATGCATTTTTTATTTGCTCATCGGACCAATTCAAGGAATGGTATCGAAGCATTGTGCCATGTATTGTTCAGAATGGACTGGTTGTTTTCTGTGAAAACAGGCACAATGCTTCCGTCATCACTGTAACTGGAGACTGTCCACTGCCCTCCATATACAAATCTGCATAACCCATTGGCTGTTAGAAGTGGACTGTCCGCCATATTGCCAGTCCCAGATTAATAGATTTATAAAGAAAAATATCAAATTGGATTGATTTTTTGTAAAAAACAAAATTAAATGGCAACAAAATATATTTGATGTAAATGCACACTTTTAGACTTTTGTGTACACTTTTAGACGACTTAAATCGAGAGGGATCGGGAACGAGCGCGCAGCTTCACTTTTTTGTACAGCTCAGAATGGTCCACGAGCGGTGTTTTTATTTGCAGCACACATCGTCAATGGTCTTTGGATCATGATTATTCAGCTATAGTTCGATGTTTATTCATAAGAAAATTAGAATGACGTCACACCATTGCTATCACTCAATCATGCATGTACACTAAAGCGTTTCAAAGAACGGCTTTCGTCGAGCTGCCACATGGGTAGTGGAATGAACTATGGATTGCAAGATCTGTGGTTCGAACCTGTGTCCATTTTCATTGAACCTTTTGTTCGTTGAGATAAGTTTAATAAGCCTCTGTACTGATGACGTCACACTTTGTTCACATGTGCACTTTCCTATGGAGCCAGTGGGGGCCCGCGGTCCACTGAGCACCATAGGAAAGCACACACGTAAACAAAGTTTGACGTCATCAGTACAGAGGCTTATTGAAGGGAAAACACTACGAGAAGCTAAGTGTCTTCCCTCCACTCAGCGTAAGTAAATATTCATGTTAGGTTGCGTGATGTGATTGGTTAAAAGACGACGTATGCTGGGAAAAAAGGTGCGGCCCACGTGCTATCCAGATGTGTTTACATGGAGATCAGTGGGACCGTCATTATGCATGGGTGTTCAGAAACATCGCTCCTATTAGCTGCTCCTGCCCTGGCATGGTACTTGATCATTTTTACCTCCAAAAATCTTGAACAATATAATTAGTAGTAGCGGATCTAGAGGGGGGGGGGGTGGTGTTGGAGGTTGCAACCCCCCACCCCCACCCCCACACCCCCGTTCAGCTGCTGACTAATGTTATGACACAAGTAAAATGGGGCCAAAAATAATAAGCGGAATGCTAAAGTTCCTAAATGTATTCTTGAATTGCCTTAGAATGCAGGAGAAAGCATCGTAGCCTTCAATATTTTCCGGGGCATACCCTTGGACCCCCCTAGCAGGACGCGTTTTAGACCCCCCCCCCTCCGGTTTTTAGATCCTTGCAATGGTACACTATGGAGACCGAAGTTCATAAAGCAGATCCCAAACACGCGTTTAATTCGCGCTCGCGCCAATTTCGGAAAATGTTCTTCTGCAGTCTAGTAAAGTCATTTACGTGATGCTTGAAACATATCACCTGATTGAATAAAGATGTCATGGTATTTGAAATATCTTCATAAAGTTTAGATTTAAGCGAGGCATCACTGTGGCCTGCTACGTTAGGTCGGGGTCCAAATGCTGCAGGTTACGGGTTTGAGTACCCCGAAGTTTTACATTTTATTTTGTTTCCCCAAAGCGAATTTTCTCTCTTAAATTGTGTTTAATCAATTCCTACCAATCGACGAAATAAACTTCAATTTGTTTTCCTCTGATTTATGGCCCTGGAGGATTTTAGGGGAGTTAAGTCCGAGAACCAGTCCGTTACCACCTGTTGCATGTGCATTATAGTATTTGACCATACTTGCTTGTAGAACAAGAAATGCTTGCCAGTAGTTCAGTTCGACTCGCCCAAAAGTTCAATTATTGATCAGTTATATGACCTTCGCTGAGTATGACAACGTGTAATCAAATATGTGCATCGTTACAATGAATTAGTAAACGCCTACTTCAGGATGAACACGTTCGATGGATATATATAGAAACTATAAAATGAACGTTAAACTTCAACCCTCCCTTGTTATGTCAGTCAACAAATCGATGTACGGACCTTGAGAAATATATAGCAATCATGTAGCTCCATGAAGCAATGAAGACTTTTGAACTATGGGTTTGCTGCATTACTAGTCCAGTGCCCAGTATAATCCTCTACATAATAAATCGAGTCGCATGACAAGGAATGTAGTATAATGTCTTTTTCATAGTTATTTATGACACGTGAGATTGCATTATTCAAATGAATGGTTTTTTTTATGTTTACCTAATTTTTCAGGGACTAACAAAATATAGAAATCTAAATAGAGAAATTGAGGAATAACACATAATGCCTATATTTGACCTTACCAAACACACACTGACAGAGGATGTCTTAAAACAATTGCCTAAAGTTGGTTGATACGTTTTTTTTTCTTCAAAATGTCAAATTTCTTTTCCGAACGAAATTGGAATGAGTACAATGTCCTGTAACAAAAATATGTGCTTGTTTGCATTAACGCATGCGTTTATATAGTTTTGAAAAGTGGTTTTACACAGCGCGCTCCAGTTCAAAAAGTTTTGAGCGAAACACTTTGAATATCTATATCTAGTGACGTACAGCCACGTATTCATGTATGTTAATTTTGGAATCACGCGTTTTGTATTAGCCTATATAGCATCGTGGACCGATCCGGCGACTTTTACGTCTTTTCCTCTCAGAGGATTGCAAAAAGCGTAGTTATTTTCAAGTGTAGATTTGAGTGGTCGCACTAATGGCATATCGTGTACGTGCCTTTTGGCTGTGGCACCCGAAAAATAGATTTTCAAATTGAATTGATAATTGTCTAGCATTGCATAAGTGATGAGCTTTCCAATGAGATATCGCACGAAAAAAAAATCGGCCGACAATAAGTAACCAATTAAAAAATTTCGACTTCATTCCCTCCCAAAACTTGATGACTGTAAAATTTACAATGTTACAAATTAACTGATAGGCCCTATGAGGGAAACAAGATGTAACTACGAATTAATTAATTGAAGGGACTAAGATAATTTATTTTTCACTGTTTATCTTTTCTACTTGTTTAAACATTTGAGGAAGGGTCATCTTTACGTTGACGATTTCTTGACGTGCAAGACATCGGAACACCTATGTTTGGCAATGGTTGCACCATACCATCTGGAACATTTCTCTTGAGTTATTTCTTAAATGTTTTCTTGCGTATGTCTGACCGAACACTTACCGTATTCACAGGGTCCTATATGCAAAGTAAGTCTGCAATGCAAACCTTGAAAATACATCTTTGTGTCACATTTAACCTTATTTGCAAGTTTCATTTTCCATTTTGAGGGGTATTTTTGGTGCCTTCTCCGTTTTATGCTAATGCAAAGTTTCATATTCATTAGATAACCTGTGATGGCATACCGGGCATGATTAATGTTACACAACTATTTCAGCAAACAAAGTTGCTAGAATTTTGGATATTTTGCTGTCATAAATTTCTTTTATTTAGTGATTATATGATGTGTCAGTACATGGCAGTAAGCCAACGACCAACAACGCGATACTTTTAAAATGAATGCATCTTTGATACGGACGAGTGAAGCTAAAAGGCATTAGAATGCTTGGATAGTGAAATTGAATGATTCTTTTTGATTGTCGAATGTCGATCTGCGTGATCTTTCAATTTCAATTTAAATCGAATGAGCCAGGCGTTAAATTGAATGAAAGCTTGGTGAAATTGGCCGGGAAAACCTATATAAACTACAAGCATCATAGCATACAGTCAGCTCGCAAGCTATTAAAACGAAATCGAAGGGAAACTGGGGTAACAAGATGGTCTATGAAGAAATTTTAAAAAAAAGTGTCTAAAATATGACACGGACACAGATGACGAAGGCAAACTACATCGTAAAAAAAGTCATGTACAGCAATTTATGAAATTAAATGCACCATAACGAATCATGCATTCGAAAGAACATATTGTTGATTAACAAAGGATATTGAGTTTATGCGCCTGTGAATTTTATTGCTTGGCCTTCATCAAGATCTTCATTGAGATGTATAACAACATGTAGAAAGGAAAGACTACGAGCCGAGGAAAGACTACGATACGAGCCAATACGGTGAATTATGTATTTGACGGTTATGAAAGATTGAACGTAGTGCAGTATTATTCCATCAACCATTTCCATAAAAATATGAATTGAAAACATTTTTTTATTCAGCCAAATAGGCCTAGCTATTGAAAGATTGAAATTAACAACACAGGGAAGAGTCGAACTTTTCCCTTATTTTCTGTTTCCACAAATATCCGTGGAGTTTCACAAAGTCGCCGACACGTGTTTTGCCGTTCATTATTGATATATTGAAGTTGGTGTATGCGTGCTTTGTGTGTGGAACCTTGATAAATGGATTTTTTTAAATTAAATTAATAATTTTCTAGCATTCCGTTAGTTATGAGCTTTCGAATGAGAAATAGCAGGAAAACAATTGGCCCATGACGGGCAATCAATTATTAATTTCAACTTTTGAATGAGCGGGACGCTCCTAATTCGTTCTAAATAGTGTGCGCAATTTCTGAACTGGAGCGCGCCATTTAAAACCAATTTTTAAAACTGTATAAAAGCCTGCAAAAACAAACAAGCACAGTTATTTGTTACAGGACATTATATTCCATTACATTTCGTTCTGAAAAGAAAATCTAATTTTTTTAAAAAGCACGTTTATGACAACTTTAAATGTTTCATGTTTGTTTGTTGTCGCGAAATCTCACTGATCTGTTTGTTTTAATTTGCAAGTTCTTTACTGAGGGTTGGCATTTTAGTTGTATTCTTACTACAATCTGTGTCCGACTCTCAATTTACATGCAAGATCCTTGAAGAATGATCAAAAACAAACACAGGGACCTAATTCGACTTGGTACTTTGAAGTGTATAGGATAAGATAGTATGTTTATATTTTTGTCATGTTTTCATTCAGAGAACCGCTATTACAGTGGAACTCCCCACAACGACATTGATGCCAACCACACTGGGTAAGTTTAATTGGTTTCGAGTGATCGGAGTCGCTTTGAAGAGAATTGAATCCGATGTGATTAACTGCATTTGGAAAAAAATAAGTGGTAGGCCTACAATTTTCTACATGAACTGAGCATAGGATATGAAGCTCAGTAAGACGTGTATTGTTTTGGTTTTCATTTCCGTACGTCTACAATGGTACTGAGAGTAAAACTTTGTGAAATACGTACATGATGAGAACAGTTTTGAGCTTTGATTTGTGCAACAAAAGTTAATCAAATGACGGCTGAACTAAAAATCACCAGAAATTACAGGGGCTTGGTAGTGAAACAACAAAGTCTCAATCTGAACCATTAGTAAAAACTTGTGTCAACTATTTCTTCGGCGGGACAAATAATCATTTCTGGGCCAATATTACATTGGGTGTTATTTTTTTGTCCGACTTAGCTGCCTGAACAGAATTAAAGACGGAAAGAAGAATCCAAATAAAAAAGAAAGATCACAAACTGTAGGTTTTCATATCATGGAATTGAGTTCAGACCGATTCCTGCAGTAAATTAATCGGAATGGAATTCACTTGGTATCTTGTACCAAACCATGACCCTCCCAGTTCGTTTTGCGAGTTTTCAATAACTGTGATCGTCTCGCAAGTTCACGCTGTGTCTATTCAGTGTTGTTGTCCATCACAAGCTCTCACAACTCCATCACAAGTCCGTCACAAACACCCAAGTCTCTAATTATGTCAAAAGCTATGTACGTGAACTGTGAAAAAGGGATTCCTTTGTCGTTCATCTCTTGTTACTTGTGACGGGGTCTACCTGATGTTCATCAATACCTATGTTCCCCAAAATCCTTACAGGGTTAGGGTTAGGGTTATAGAGTTAGATGGTTAGGGAACATAGGTATTGGAGAACATAGGTATTTGGGAACATAGCTATGCACCCCTTGTGACCGGACTTGTGATCGACTATCTAATCACCTATAACATTGCTCATGTTGACAGAACCCAACGAGTGTGACAGTGACCCTTGCCAGAACGGAGCCGCTTGTAACGACGGCCCGGACATGTTCACTTGTGACTGCGCCCCTGGGTACGAGGGAACCACATGCAACACAAGTGAGTAGGATACATTTCGTTACCGTGAGTCTGAAGAATATCACGACATCAATTCGGGCGATTCACAATGCAGTGCGCCACCAAGAGTTTGCCATGGAGAGTTCATTTTTCCCAGTGCACTGTGGGAGATGGTCGACAAATTCGCAGCGCGGGACATTTGAAATTGTTAGTTTTTTCCGGTCAGTGGTTTCGTAAGCGTATGGTTCGAGGATCTGTTTGCCCATTTCCTTTCTTGTTATCAATATGGTGTTTTTTGTAAGGCGGCAGAACACTATGCCCCAATCTATGACATATTAGCTCAAGTTGTCTACTGACACTCATTCAAAAGGGCCAAGTTTTGTCGACCGTAAACTTGAAAAATGGACTCTCCGTGGCAAACTCTTGGTGGCGCACTGCATTTTGAATCGCCCGAATTACATCTAAACTAATTACATTATATTCGTGTGTGAACTCATAACGTACACATTCAACAAATAGACAAGTATTCTCTTTTATACATGATTCATTTTGTTCAGATACTGACGAGTGTGGCAGTAACCCGTGTCAAAATGGCGCGAATTGTGTGGATGCCGTCAACGAGTATGCATGCACGTGTCTCGCAGGCTATGATGGCGTACACTGCGAAACAAGTGAGTTCACGATTTATTCGAAATGTAGACTGTTTCCAGTGCCGCAGCCATCTCGGAGGTGTCTGCTTTTGCTCAGCAGGGATATCGCTGATCTCTATTGTACTGACTGGATAGCGCTTCGGGCCGTGGGGGATGAAGTCACTGGACGGCATTTTGAAGCTCCCTTTGGCCAAGTAAAAATATAACAACAAATATTAACATGAGTAAATTAACACTGTGGGCAAAATGAATGAAAACGTGTTTGATGATCCAAAATCGTTTCCTGAACTATTGTAATTATGTGGTTTATATACGGATCCGTGGGCTGTGGAGCTTTTTAGGGAGCTTCAAAATGACCACCGTCTGTGTACGAGCGCGAGGGCGACACGGTCTTCTTGTGCACAAACATTAGTCGAAGCCAACCTCGCCCCCAGGGCGTCGAGCAGTACGCTCCCACCACTATCTGCTCTCTCACCCTGGTATTGGTCATTTGCATGTGCACAATTTTTGCGCACGTATGCAAATGAGGAATAGTCTGGTGCCTGCCTGTACGTTGCATTAGCGTTTGTGTTTGTATGCGGTGTCTGGGGTAAAACACAATCAATTCGTCGCGCCGTGAGTTACAAAAACACGATTGTTTTCGACTGAGTTAAAATGTTACAATCTTATCCTGAAAACACGTCATGCACGTTGGAAATAACAACACTAACTACACGATATAAATCCATTACTAACCAATTGCGGTATCGAATCAGGATAATGGAAGAAAGTTTCCTATCCAGGGCTTACTATTGGAAACGAGGTTGGAAATAAAGTAAGCACTGGGGACGAGGTTGTGGTCGAAGCACTATCTAGTCAGTATAGTAGAGAGTTAATGAATAAGCGGGTTCGGTGTCTCTGTGAAGTAGTCCAGGTCAAAGGTTATTCGGGATAAAATCGCTGACGTGATGAGGTGCGATGTTACGCAGGCACGAGCGTCGTACGCCCGGCCGTCTACCCGCGCGTTCATACGCCTTCGATTATCCCGAATGACCCGTGACCCATATCATTGTGCGCATGCGCAGTTGAAAAACCAAACTGGCCTAGTGACATAACAAAATACACCTCAAAGATGACTGCTGAATGCAATCGATCTATTGACAATAATAAATAAATAATAAATACAAACAAATAACAAAATTGTATTCTTTTTATGTATTTATGACAGACATCAACGAATGTGCTAGCAGCCCTTGTCAAAATGGCGTCTGCAATGATGCAGTCAACAGCTACACTTGCACCTGTTCTGCTGGATATGAAGGAACTTTATGTGACACGAGTAAGACCTAACATTACTTCCCTACATTCTTGGACATCAAACAAAATCTTGTTCTCCCTAAATAATCATTTAACCATCCACAGCCATACTCCATGTACAAAAGACAGTGATAAAGTTTGTGGTGTATGTCATTCAGGGTCCATGTCATTATAAGGGCAGGTGGTAAGAATAACATGTATGGTTCTGCCGTGAGTGTGCCCCTTTGAATAGGGCGCCCTCTTGAGGACAGGTTTTACGCCCTCTGTGATACCCCCAGATACAAAGGACTGACATTGTCACTGGATTTTAATTTAGAAAAAAAATCATTGACGATGAACTGTGCAAAACATCTACACATTAAAAGCAATGAGATTTAAGGAACTTTCCAATTGTAATAAATCTGTGAATGAAAAAGATATGCAAATTGATTATGTTATGAGCATACTGCATCCTTGTCAACTTCAGAGAGATTTATTCCACTCACTGTTGTACAATGGTTGTCAACACAAACTGAACACAGGAAGCAGTATCAATCGAGAAAAGTATTATGTTTAAACCAAAGAAAGAGAATTAGTATTGTGGAATAATTTTTGCTGTAATGTTCGTCTTTATGGCAGACACCAATGAATGTGCTAGCAGCCCGTGTCAAAATGGCGTCTGCAACGATGCAGTCAACAGCTACACTTGCACGTGCACTTCTGGATACGGAGGCACCTTGTGTGATACAAGTAAGACCCAATTTGACTTCCATTTTCTTTTTTACAGCAAATCGAAATGTTTCACTCCCTAGACTAAGCATATTAATCCTAAGTGTGCCAGTAATGGACTCCATTGAGTGGACTAGTGAGTTGTGGAGTGAAAGATATGTGTAACATTAATTGGAATCAGACAATCAGGAGGTTGGTATGGATGGCTAACCATCCCCTCCATCACCATCACAAGTACCACCGCCAAAACAAACCTCTTTTACAAATTGGACCAAATCCAAAGTTCTCTGAATAACGTCATCGCTCACATTGTGCACATTGATTCATTGCTCCAAGTTTTTGGAGACTGCCTTGTCTCTTCTACCCCCCCCCCCCCACCCGAAAAATCTTGGACTTCAACACCACCAAGACACCCCTTTGGAAATCAAGGGGGAAAAACAAGCCAAATTTGAAAAGTATTCTAAAACGCGTTGGTTTACTCGGTGTATTCTTCTCTGAATTTATGACAGACATCAACGAATGTGCTAGCAGCCCTTGTCAACATGGCGCCTGCAATGACGGAGTCAACAGCTACACTTGCACCTGTTCTGCTGGATATGAAGGAACTTTATGTAACACAAGTAAGACCTAACATTACTTCCGTACATTCTTGGACATCAAACAATATCTTGTTCTCCATTATCATTTAACCATCCACAGCCATACTCCATGTACAACAGACAGTGATAAAGTTTGTGGTGTGTGTCATTCTGGGTCCATGTCATTATAGGGTCGGGTGGTAAGAATGACATGAATGCTTGTACCGTGAGTGTGACCCTTGTATAGGGCGCCCTCTTGAGGGCAGGTCTCACGCCCTCAGTGATACGCATGAGAAGATACATAAAACTGCCATTGTCACTTGGTTTTAGAAATAAAAAAGCGACTTCGTTGACGGAGTTATGTCCAAACAATCTGCTCATAAAAAGCAGTGAAATTTAATTCCAATTTTAATAAGGCTGTGAACGAGAAAGAAGTGTAAATTGATTTAAAATATATGTTAGGAGCTTACTGCATCCTCGTCAACTTTTAGAAAGATTTATTTCACGTACTGGTTAGAATATTATTCTGCCATCACAAACCGAGCACAGCAAGCAATATCAATCAAGAAAAGTATTATGCTGACACCAAACAAAGAGTATTATGCAATAATATGTTTGTGTAATATTCCGTCTTTTATGGCAGACACCAATGAATGTGCTAGCAGCCCTTGTCAACATGGCGTCTGCAATGATGGAGTCAACAGCTACACTTGCACATGTTCTGCTGGATATGAAGGAACTTTATGTAACACGAGTAAGACCTAACATTACTTCCGTACATTCTTGGACATCAAACAATATCTTGTTCTCCATTATCATTTAACCATCCACAGCCATACTCCATGTACAACAGACAGTGATAAAGTTTGTGGTGTGTGTCATTCTGGGTCCATGTCATTATAGGGTCGGGTGGTAAGAATGACATGAATGCTTGTACCGTGAGTGTGACCCTTGTATAGGGCGCCCTCTTGAGGGCAGGTCTCACGCCCTCAGTGATACGCATGAGAAGATACATAAAACTGCCATTGTCACTTGGTTTTAGAAATAAAAAAGCGACTTCGTTGACGGAGTTATGTACAAACAATCTGCTCATAAAAAGCAGTGAGATTTTATTCCAATTTTAATAAGGCTGTGAACGAGAAAGAAGTGTAAATTGATTTAAAATATATGTTAGGAGCTAACTGCATCCTCGTCAACTTTTAGAAAGATTTATTTCACTTACTGGTTAGAATATTATTCTGCCATCACAATTCAAACACAGCAAGCAATATTAATCAAGAAAAGTATTATACTGATACCAAACAAAAATTATTTTGCAATAGTATTTGTGTGTAATGTTCCGTCTTTATGGCAGACACTAATGAATGTGCTAGCAGTCCTTGCCAAAATGGCGTCTGCAACGATGCAGTCAACAGCTACACTTGCACGTGCACTTCTGGATACGGAGGAACCTTGTGTGATACAAGTAAGACCCAATTCGAGCGATTCACAATGCAGTGCGCCACCACGAGTTGCCCATGGAGAGTCCATTTTTTCACGTTTACGGTCGACAAAACATGGCCCATTTGAATGAGTGTCAGAAGGCAACTTGAGCTAATTTGTTTTAGATTTGGGCATAGCGTTCTGCCGCCTTACCAAAAACACCATATTGATAAAAAGAAAAGGAGAGGGCACACAGATACTAGAATCATACGCTTACGAAACTACTGACCGGAAATCAACTAACAATTTTAAATGTCCTGCGTTTTGAATTTGTCATCTATCTTTCACAAATGCACTGGGAAAAAAAATGAGCTCTCCGTGGCAAACTCCTGGTGGCGCACTGCATAGTGAATCGTCCGAATTGAACTTCAGTATTTTTTGACAGCAAATCGAAATCTTGCACTCACTGAAATAACCATCATTAATCCTAAGTGTGCCAGAAGTGGACTCCATTGAGTGGACTACTCTGTGGTGAGTTGTGAGTGAAAGATCTGTTTGACAATAATAAGTCTCAGTATCAATGACGTCATTTACATGTGCACTTTCCTATGGTGCTCAGTGGATCGTAGGCCCCCACTGGCTCCATAGGAAAGTACACATGTAAACAAAGTGTGACGTCATTAGTACAGAGGCTTATTTGAATCAGACAATCAGGAGGTTGGTATGGATGGCTAACCACCCCCTCCACCACCACAAAAACCGACTATTGTTAATTATTTACATATTGGACCAAATTCCACGTTCCCTGAATAACGCCATCACTCAATATTGTGCATTTTGATTAATTGCTTCAGGCCTGTTGTATGTAAAGATTGCACTGTCTCATGTCCCCCGAAATATCTTGGACTTCAACACTCCCAGACACCCCTTTGGATAACCCTTGGGAGAAAACAAGCGATCGTTCCCGTTTTTGTGGGAGGCAAGGATTTATCCACAGGGACATTTCTTTTTACTAACCCTGTATGCATACGTATTTCAAGCCGTGTGTATTAAATTACATATACACGTTCTGTGTGTGACACATACACACAAAATCAATACACACGTCCGTGTTTATCACACGTCCGCAGAGTGCACTACAATACACCTCATTACAATTAATTAAACGAGAAAAAGTTAGTGTTTGTTTCATTTGATACTTGCAGTATCAATCCGTTTGGTGAATGGTGCGACGTCAAACGTGGGCAGGGTGGAGGTGTGGCACAGTGGCGCCTGGGGCACCGTGTGTGATGACAATTGGGACATGAACGACGCCAATGTTGCCTGTCGTCAGTTGGGCTACCCGTATGCGACAAACTTCTACGGCTCAGCTACCCACGGTGCCGGATCCGGGGCGATTCACCTCGATAGTATAAACTGCGCTGGTACAGAAGCTAGCCTTGGCAGTTGTCCACATGGCGGATGGGGTGTGCACAACTGCGGCCATGGCGAAGATTCCAGCCTGAAGTGTTATCCAAGTACGTGGCTGTATTAATTAATGACAAGAAGATGTTGGTTTCTTTAAAACATCTCATTAATAATCACAGTCCAAACGTAGTGCTAACAGATTTCCCCTTTCAGTTTCTAATCATTTGGCTGTCTCTTCCTTGGGGGGAAGCCCCCAGGAGTGTATTTCAGCAGTGTTTAGTCCAGTCCTTCACATGACAGTATATCAAATTAATTCGCAAGCTTTTCAACTGAACTGTGACAAAATCATTTGCTTGTTACTGTTCGTCAAAGTTGATTGTTGTTTGACTTAGGTTAGGCAGGCGCGGTTCTACGGGGGAAGTGGGCTGCAGCCCCCAATTTTTTGCTTAGAACCCCCCCCCCCAACCCCCCCCCCCCCAATTGCCAAAAAAAGGAAGTAGCAGTAGAGAATGTTAGAAGGTGACGTCACAGGCAAAAGGTCTCCGCCCCCCTCAAAAAATATTCGCCACAGCCGTCCAGGCACGGATCTAGAGGGGGTTGGTTTTGTGTCGAACCCTCCCCCGGCCCCCCGTTGAAAACTGTTGAAAATTGCATTGATAAGAATAACGTCAATGTTTGCCAGAGGCGTAGCCATTCTTGAGAAGGGTGAATTTGTACAGAGGTAATTTTTATAGTGTGTATGATTGTGGGATTTGATCAGCGCTCCCTATTCAAAGTTTGGTACGAAGCGCGCCTGAGGTTTGGACTTGTGATTCTCGTTTGACCGGACTTGTGATGGGCTTGACCACACCATTTTTAGGCTGACTATTTGTCAGATGGTGTATAAGCAACCCCGCTCTGGGGAAAAAACATTAAATTGTACGTATTATGATGATCATAAAGTATAATTTAAATCCTGACAGGGATTCGTCTGGTGAATGGTCCATTGTCCAACGAGGGCCGTGTGGAGGTCTACCACAACGGAGTCTGGGGAACGGTCTGCGATGACAGTTGGGATATCAACGACGGTCACGTAGCCTGCCGTGAACTTGGCTACCCGTCTGCCGCCCAGGTCTGGTCCTCTGCCTTCTATGGACAGGGCACGGGGGCTATACACCTGGATAACACGGCGTGTAGTGGCAGCGAGGCTAGCCTAGGAGCTTGCGGCCACAATGGATGGGGTTCTCATAACTGCGGACACGGTGAAGATTCGAGTGTCAAGTGCAACCTGACCTAAGAACTACAGTTTGAAAGTACGATCTTTCAAGAGTGAAAGGAAAAATATTGGGCAAAGAAAAGGTATCCGCATTTACATTAAAGGTAATGTACAACATTTGTTTTTGCTGCAATTTTCAGAAATAAATGGATTTGGGAGGATTAAAATGTTAAAGCAAATATTGTTAAACTGACTTGTTTCACGTTTTCGGCTTGTACATAATGGACAGACCAAGAAAACCAATCATGTTCTTGTAGTTTGGCTCCCTGACACCACTTTAGATGAAACGGAGCAATCTGTATAGACTTTTGGGAATTGTAAGGTCAGAGAATCAGTCTGGCAGGCTTGTAGCTCTCCACAGGTGTTTAATCAATTGCAGAGAAAATGCAGAATAACTAAATATGAAAAATTAGGAGCAGTTTTTGAAAATCAGCCAGTTTTCTCCAACGCTGGTCGGCCGACAAGCGTTGGACAAATACAATTTTTCTTGAAAATGTCAGCTGGCACACCATCAGGAGGCCCGATTTTACAGGATGCTTTAGACTGTTATTCCCTAACAATCCAGTAAGGTATTTCGTGATAATTTGATCATTTCGTTTTTTGATGTTTGAAAATGTTGTATCTTCCCTTTAACATAATTTTTATTATATACATTGTGCCCACTTGTATACAGCGTTTCCATTTTGAAGTTATCATGGTGTTGTAATTAACAAAAGGCCTTGTGCATAACAGCCATCTCAGAGGGCATCGTTTGTTATTTTAATTCAGCAACAATGAATGTACAGCAGCTTCACTCATGCACATCCCAGCAAGACAAAGGCATTGCTCTTTGACATGACTGCTACACACAAGGTCAATATTGTAATGAGAAATACGAAGTCACGATTCCGTTTAATTGCAACAAATCAGCGAATAGGATTTGGCGTATGCTGCGCGATGTTATGTGAAACATTGGGATGATGTTCATGTCCGCAATCTTGCACGTCCCGGCTTTCTAGCTTTAAGTAGAAACATTTATTTCAATGTTGCCATCACATAGTTCCACACAATAAAATGTTACAATGTCGTGTAAACTCATTATACAGAGCAAAATGCAATGAATTATGTAAAGGTGTATAATAATGTACATGGATCAATACTAAATCTAACTAACGACAACATTTAGGTATAAGGTGAATCGTCACTCTTTTGTACCCTAACCTATCGACAGACAATTGTGCATGACCGAGAAACAAACAGAGACAGCGACAAAGGACAAAATGGACAACAATCAGACACACAAAGACACAACCTAGAAAAAAACAGAAACTGGTATGAGACGAGAGCATACATTAAGATTCATAAATTATAATTCGAATAAGAATTGAGTAGATGTGAAATAAGGTTTTTAACAAAGACAGAGAAGGAAGGTAATGATTTTAAGAAGTTATCTAGACTATTCCAATATGATGTACCACGTTGAATAACACTATTTTCAGATTATGTTGTTCTGTTAAATTGGACAATAAATTTCTTCTTCTAGTGCTTCGGGTATTATAAAAATTAATATCAGATGTGAACATAAAGAAGGGGTTAAAACAAGTAGCTCGATGTCGATTTGCATTATGGTGGAATTGTAGCAAAACCCTCATACAGTTGTATGTTTGAATAGTATAACTCTATGAGGAAAACACACATCAGTTACTTTTACTCCCAGAATATGGCTTCGCTGTAGCGCCCTCATTTACAAAAAAAAACACCCATGACCTTTGTGTATACATCGGTGCGTTCGAGTAGCTGACCCGGATCGATTCAGATAAAGGCACTGAGGCAGACGGGTTAGCCACGACATCCTCTGAATGACGTCAGAGCTAGTCGAGCGACACGGGACGATCTGGGTGAGCTACTCCAATGCACCCATATTTGATGGAAGTAAAGCCTTGAGATTAACTTTGTCAATCAGGCGATATCTCAAGAAGAAATGTATCCATGTATCCATATGTATCTGCGTTGCAGTTTGGGGCTTAACGACTCTCGATCGCAGCTGCATCTCTTACCTCAAAAATATCGTCCACGGGTAATTTTTGTACGTTTGTAACGCAAGTTAACGTCTCGTTAATAGTTTCATCAGTGATTTGAGTTGGTGACAGTGAAACTAGCACATGGTAGCGCTGTAAGTGATTTTCACTATGCAAAAGGCTTCTTCGACTTGATGATGGGAATTAGAGTCCTTATCAAGCAAAGAGAGATAAAATCTTGTTCAACTTGTTTTGTTACTCTTTTGAGTTTGATGTGCAAAATATTTTTCAGAATTTATTGAAGATAGCCTAAAACAGGTTCATTGTTTTTTTAAAACACTTCTCTCTGTAGAACTACGACGACACTTTGTATGCTTGTACATGTAAACTTATAGGTTGTTATTATGTAAAGTTGTTAAATGTAAATTTGGTGTTTATTTGTTTTAGCGCCTTGAATTGAATTCGTTTCTGCGATCGCTGCGTTTTATAAATTTCTCTTTTATTACTATTATAACGATGACGTCATAATGTGATTTTTAAATAATGAGATTTTTAACCTTTACTTTAATGTCAAGGTTAAAAAAATCATTATATAACCTAAATGTGCTCAATTCGAAATTCTTTTTGTTAATAGCTTAGGTGGTTAATAAAGATGTGCAAAGAATGGTGAGAAATATCTGACATCGTGTTCTCATCAATGTGCCGTGTGCTATTTTAAAGACAAGACTTGATTTGTCATGAAACTTGGTGGTCGCGTAGGATATATTGCAGATATACGTATTACAAAGTGTCCTAATGATGACGCCATACATTGACTTTTTTAAATACTCTTTGAATGTTTTCCCCTTTTCCACTCTCAACTTGACATGATCGGAACTTGTGACAAGATGGACGTGCTACTTTTCACGTAAGGGAATAAAAACAAACATGCACCTAGTATTGGCATCATCATGATGTCATCAGCAAATGTTTTGGTGATTTTAAAAATATGCTACCGAAAGTTTCATAAAGTTTGTACATGTTTTTTGCGACTGCATTTCTGTCATTTTTGTGTTTTTGTATGTGTACAGGTCAATTAGATGCAAAATTGCACTGACATAACTTCTCATAAGCTTCAGTTTACCTGCATGGGTTGGACATAGGCTGTACATTGATTGACCGCTCGAGACCAGAAAATGACCCCCCCCCCCCCCCAAAGAAAAAAAGGTGAATGTTACGCCATTGCTTTTGTGTGGAGAGTGTTCCATCGTCCCGTTATTTTGACATTTTGATTTTACATTTCATCACAAGAGGGCGCTACTTCACTCACAAAAAGATGCAAGAGGGCGCCGTGTCGCTCTCTATGGATGCAACCCTGCAAATAAATTCCCATAGACACTGGTGCTAAATGTCCATACTTCAAAATTCTTTTAAAAATACTCAGAACTCTCACAGGTATTTAAGCTGCACAGAAAAATGATGATCGACATGTCGTCTTTCAATTTCGTTTCATTTTTTGGTGGGTTGACCATTGACTTTTCGAGAAATTCTCGCCCAAAGAAGACGACCCCTGTTTTCCCCAAAGTGGAACGGCAGCCATCTTGAAAAACGATCCCTCCACAACATAGCAAAATAGCGCCACTTTCAAGCCCAATTGTATCCAAAATGCTCAGAATTGGAAGCCCCGAGTCCGGGCCAGAGGTTCATTGCCATATCTCTTCAATTCCCCAATGTTATGGCTCCCAGAACTCTCTAATATAGAATATTTTGAGGGTATAACTTTTATTCATGAGCTCGGCGGACGGATTTAGGCCTATTTACCGGTGTGCACACCTATGAGCAAGCACGGGCAAGGACAACCTCGTCCCCAGTGCTTACTTTATTTCCAACCGCGTTTCCAATAGTAAACCCTGGATAGGAAACTTTCTTCCTGGATACCGCAATTGGTTAGTAATGGATTTTTATCGACACCGCATACAAAAGCAAACGCTAATGTGTAACGCATATCCAGGCACCAGACTGTTCCTCATTTGCATACGTGTTCAAAAATCTTGCACATGCAAATGATCCAATACCAGGGTGAGAGAGCAGGTAGTGGTGGGCGCCGGTACTGCTCGACACCCTGGGGACGAGGTTGGGGCAAGGACTACTAGTCGACTAGTGGTTGTCTATGTGACGTAACTTACGCCTGCGCAAATGGTCTAAACGTCATCACGAAAGCTTCTTCGTCCAGGCTCCCCGTCCATGCATCATGATTGGTACGATTATTGGTAACCAGCGATGCAACCGTGCCCAATGGTCTGGTTCCAAATGGTCAACTAGAGTAGTCCAACCATCCTTCCTTCGAGGGAAGTTAGTCAAAGATATACCTTTATCATGCTGCCACCATTTCAATCATGTTTCCCATATCCAATAACAGTACTGAATGATAATGGGTTTTTTTGTAAAAAAATAAATAAAAAGGAACCAGACTATTTTTCCTTCTAGCCTCGCTTAGGTTACGTTGATTTTAATGGGAAAAAAATCAAGATGGCCGCAACATGATAATGACTGCGCAATAGTCGTAGCCTTGTTGCCATTTTGTGATTGGACGATGAACGACATTCGTTTGATGGTGTCTTCATATCTCCAGTGCAAGTAGCTGCAAGCGCGGTCGGTTACCGCGCGGTCGCAAGTAGCGCTGCCTACGCACCCGGGATCCGCACTCAGTATACAATACTTTCAGAATCATTTTAGTGACGGTCTGTTTCATAAAAAAGTGAACATCAAATGATCTATAATAATTACATCTTGAGATCGTTTAGATGCATGAAAGTGAATACGGAATTGAAGTGTTAAGTAATTAGTTCTTGCGGTAGCATCATCAGTCCTTTTTACTTATATTAAGGAGGATTTTTAAAAACTTTTAACTATTTTAAAATTAAAACAATGTTTGAAAAGAAAGGCAGGGATCAATTTAATACGCATAATATGTACATAAAATTAATAAATTTACAGTCGTAAAACAATTTTTTAAAGAAAGCATGAGTATAGATGAATAATATAGTAAGTTTTTTTTTAAAGAGAGAAGTAATTCTTCCATTCCAAAAGTTTATGCACAAAATTAATGTCCAACGAATCATTGTAGATAGCTTGCAATGTTCATTTGAAAATCGAGATATATACACAGTAGGGTTTTGTGAAATGATAAAGTTTTTCTTTCCCCCTTTCTGATGTATCACTATGTGAACGAAATGTGTCAAAAACCTGCAGAATCTGGTCTTGTACGATGAACATGTACATGCGGCGCCCGTACGTGTACATGGTACCGTACGTCGTACTTGCGTACATGTACTTCAACGTCGTTAATTGTCCAATCACAAAATGGCAACAAGGCTACGACTATTGCGCAGTTGATAATGGTCTATATAGTTCGCGCCTGAGCTCGCTCCATTGGTGGACCCAACCACTTG